TGTGCTTGGATGATAATAATCTTTTCCTTTCAGATCACAGACTTCCATGGCTCCAGAGCCAACAGAGTCAATATTCATTATTGAGATGAGATCATATTACAGAATTGCCTGACTTCAGATAAGCAAATTATAGTGCTGTGGTTTGGGTTTCAAGTATGATTACCATTAACCACAAAATTAGTTATAATAAACATTGAAAAATGTAATATATCCTGATAATGAACTATTAACAGGATATGTGAGCACATTCAGAACATGTTGATCCATGGACTAACTGATCCGCGGATCAAATATGACTCACTTGAATACTTGCTGCATTATCCCCTGATGGGCACTAAATAGATTCTCCACAGGGATTATTCGGTAAGCTTTCAAGTGGGTTGGCCATATTTGATCTGCTTATGAGTAGCAGTAAAACACTGGGCCAAATATTTTTAAGTGTGTAAATGATCTCAATATACAGGACTCAATCTTCATAATATAAACATTGTGTGACAGCATTCAATTCTATGACAAGAAATTCTATATATCTAATTAACTAATAAAATTAATAAAAAAATCTGGCACATATCAGATCATAATTTCATCCTATTGGCTAAAAGTTTAAATATTCACATTTTTCTCATGTTACACAAAACACCATTTCAAAACAAACAGAGTACTGCTGTAATGTTTTGGTCCTAGAAAAAAAAACTATTTCCCAACTCTACCAACAACACAGCCGCCTCAGTCACTCTGACAAGACAGACATGTACCTCACCCCAGAATAATGATTGAGACCATTCCTCTTGTTGTTACTTCAACTTACAACATACACTGGACTCTAAGTCTCCTGCTTGTTTCATGAAATTTGAAACACAAAATTTGTCAAACCTATCCCAGATTATTCTGAATCACTTGACATTGGTGTGGCTCATGTATAGACAATGTAGTATGGTAAACTTAACACCAGTTTAATCGATACTGTTATGTTGAACTCCAGTTTTGATTGGGTAATCAAAAACAAAACATATCCAAATTTGAACTGATAACAATCCTAAATATCCACAGACCTAAAACTATTAACACTTCTGTAAACTTACAATCACTAATAAGTAAATTATCTCTAGAGCTTCCACTTTCTATCAGTTTTTATTTCAACATTTTTATGGATTGTATCACTAAAAGTTCATGTGAACCTTCAACCACTGCTGCAGTCCTTCTAAGATACCTAAAATGAATCGTTTTTAATTTCCTTACTGTGTTCTTGTATTTGTAAATGCTATAACCCCAATTCTAAATTTCAAACTGTACAGAAATGTTTCAGTGGCTTCAGATGATAGATGTTAACAACCATGGCAAGGTATTTGATACACACTGACAATGCATCTTAAAGGCCACAATTCACTGCATACAAAAACAACACTTTTTGGCATACTTAATCTTTAAAATATGCACAAAGGACCTGATGATCCAAGCCCACACACACAAGACAAATGCACCTGTTCTTACCGAAATGAAAAATACCATATTTTAACCTGTGTCTGCCAATGACATACATACTTGGCCCAAAGCTGGCGATTGAAAAGAAAGGGGGATGGAGAAGGAAGAAATGTAGCTACAAACATGTTTGGTGTACCCATTCTAAAGCAGCCCAATATTTTTCACCAATGTCAGAGAGTTTTAGGAATCTGCTTCCCCATAGTGATAATTTTTTAGCAAGTCAGCAAATAGCGTGACCACATTCTCCCACCAGATTCTCTAGAGTGAGGGCATTCCAAAACAAAGATGCTACAGTGAATTAAGCATCCTGGCATTAATTGAGAAACAGCAGACATCAACGAAAAAAAAAAATTGCTGAAAAAAAAAGACACCTTGAATTGTTTGTAAATACTTTGGGAGGCTCCAGCCTCAGATTCCAGACTGATGCTGGCTGCACATGAGTAATTTTGTGGAGACATGTAGTTTTTTTATGCTTCCTTATTAATCCCCATAGACAGCTACAGTACATCAACAAGTCCAAGACCAAAACAGCACGGAAGGCAAATGATTTTTTTTTTTGAAAATGTACTTATTTGATTTCCAAAAAAGATCAAAATCAAAAACAAGTAAAATTCAATGAAAACTATACACTGACAACTGGCCATTTGTGAAAGAAAAGGGGTCATTATCATTTTTGTATAATGAGAGAGAGAGAGAGAGAGAGAGAGAGGGAGAGAGAGAGAGCCCATTAACACACCTCTCTCTAAACCATCTATATCAAGTATAATAAAATCCATTAAATCCACTAAAAAAAGACCAAATCCTAAATACACTTCAAAAATTTAATTATTTTCAACATATTTCAAAGTGAGGGAATTTCATTGGCTTGGTCCATTCATTATATAACTTGTATCACTAGGCATAACTGTAATAAAATCAAAATACTGTTGAACTTTCATAATACTTACAAAGACTGTACTTTCTCTTTCTTCTTTTAAAAAGAAACATTTTCTTCCTGTTATTTTTCTTTAGTAAAACTCTGATGTAATATCCACAAACATGTTTGTTGTACTTAGTCTTGTTTTTCTCTTATCTGTTTGAGGTAATAACAAAAATGCAGGAAATCCTTGGTGAAGAGACTTCATCTTCCACTAACATTCTTCTTGCTGCACCTACATACTGTTCCTCTCCTTGAACAGAAACAAGCTTGGGATACCCAGTGAGCACAAAACATCTCAAATCTCCCTCAATTTTCTATTTTTTTCCAAAAAAAGTTTTTGTAAATCTTACACAAGAAACTATCACTGTGGAGCAAGGACCAAGAGCAGACGGCATCTCACAGCAGAGACTTGCAAAGCAAGAAAAGCTTTAGTCAGTCTGGTGATTCTCAGCCAGCTTTCTATACTCAGGAGTTACTAAGAAACCAATTAATTATAAAGCTACAGCTCTCACTTTTTCAGTGAGTCACCCAAACTGAAGTATGTTCCTCAGAAGAGATATTTTCCTGGAGTGTACTTTAACGCACCGACCAGGTGTGCTTTACACGGACTATCCCTAAATTTGAGACCAGAACGCTGATAAACCAAGCCGATTTCATATCTTACCCATCTATCATTAGCACTGGTTTATTTATTACAAAGACAGTTTCAAGGAGATACAAAAATATCCATTAAAGTAACAAATGTCAGGGATGTTGTTCTACATAACCTCAACAGAACATCAGGATGAAACTGTACAAACCAAATTAGTGATACTGGATGAATGATATCCAATACTTACCTTTGCCCAGTACCTTAACTATTAACCTTAAGAACTTACACAAATCTACCACAGAAAAAGAGCAACTCTAGCAGGAAGAAACAAGGGACCCAGCATGCTGAGAAACTGCCCAAGCTATGTTCAAATCATTAGTTCTGTACGCACTAAATTTAACTAAATAGAACTGCAAGCATCAATCTTTCGTTCTTGATTTAAAGCTAGTAGAACAAATGTGGTTTGTTCTGAAGCTTATCTAATTTATCACATGTAGTTTAGAAATGCAGGTATTGCAAGTATTTCTTTAAGTTGCAATTGATTTTTTCTGAGTGACATCAACATGTTTTTGTTGTTGTTGACTACAGAATATACCTAAATTGCGGGTTCAAAAAAATAAATCAAAAGCGTGACTGGCGTGATTCAACCCATTTGCATCCACGCTACTTGATTCATCAAAATTATCATTCCTCTCTTCTCAAATATATGCTTACACATTTGCCACATTTTAACATTAAACTTCTACAAATATCTAGTTACACTACAAAAATGTGTCAAGAAAAAAAATATTGTTCCATGCCAACAGTACAGATAATTCTTTTCAATTTTTCATTATGCTGAATGGATTTTATTTTCATTGCAATCATTCTTTTCTAATTCCTGGTGGTCATTGCTATCATTAATGTTGCTGAAAATCTCAGTAATTCAACTTGCAAATTAGCAACGACCCCCCCCCCAACCTAATGTTAAAATTACACCAAAAATTGTCAAGAAAGAACAACTAAGACCAAATCCCTGTACAAAGTCTCGTTTTAAAAAAACTTAGGAATCTTAACTTACCATATAATTTATAACAGAGATACATCTAATGCTGATGATGCCAATTTGCTCTTTTCCTTCAAAATCCATTCTTGACATTTCATACCTTTTTACAGTGTCAACAACCCAAAGACNAATGAAAATTAAATTTTGATCATAAAAAATCTAACATGAACTCTGCTTCCTTTTTCTAATATATGGGACGTGGTTTACTTATTCACTTATTTACCACCGAGTCTGTTTTATACATTTTTATTTTTTATACAGGAAATATCATTTTGATGAAAATAAGTAATCGCTTTTGTTTCAGGTTACAGAATAATTGCAGTAAATGGCATTGGTAAGCTTCAATCAGGCTATCAAATGTACTCTTTACACTAATGAGAAACTATTACAGTTGCTACGAAAAACTTTTTTGTGGTTTCTGGATAGGATAATAAAATAGAATTATTCTTTTTTTAGAGACTCAATAACGTCAGTCAAACACAATGTTTCTGTCCACCACCAATGGATACGAATGTTGATTTCGTGCAGGAATCCCACACTCAGGAAACAGGACACTATCATCAACTCTCTTATTACAGTTGGTTGCTAGCTATAAGGCAGTATAATTGGACTGACAGAAACTCACACACAAATAACATCATATAACAGAAGACATCTTCAAAATATAAGTGATTTTGTCTCTCTTAGCAGTTAAGCCATTCCTACAAATAATGGCATCAGATAGGAGATCAAATATCAAACATTTTGAAGATAAATAAAAAAAAAACATGCTAAAGAAACCAATAAACAAAATTTAGTAATAAAAATGTATTTGTCTGGCTTAAAGCCTGAGGGGGGTTCTGAAAAATGGACCTTTTTATCCTATTAATTGACCCATATTGTACAACCTAGATCAAATTTTGATTCAGAGTGGATCTCTTTCAGGCAAAATGGTGCATCTTTCCAACCCATACCCCCTACATGCCTAGTGTTAATATTTATAACTTACCTTTAGGTGACAGTGCATGGGAAGTGGCGATAGTCTGGCTCTTCTCACGAAGAAAGGATTCGGAGCCTGAAAAGAAAATGCGTAAACATCAGACACGTAACTGAGCAAGAGCTTGAGCAACTTCCAGAAAAGACAAGTAGCCACTCATGCTACGAGACGAATACCTGACACTTGTCAAAGCAACATTACATTATAAGTGCGTTATATTTTCAGGCCTAAAGAGAGAGAGAAAAAAAGACTTCACCTTGAAGATTTACTCTTTCCGTCAAGCAGTACAGATCTTAATGGTAGTTTTTTTGACACAAACAAGCAATTAGAAGTTGTGATGTCTGCAGCAGTAGATTCTTCCTCCAGCTGCAGGCATCATACTTATTTATACAGAAAGGCGAAAAAAGGATGAACTGCATAACATCTTTTCTATCAGGAGTGCCCATGTCCAAGAAAAGCACCAAAGGGGGAAACAATGACCGCCTTCAACTAAATGAAGCCCTTACTTCATTTGTATTCACATCTTTGCTTGCTGTGAATAACCATCACGCTTCATTACAGACCCATTTGATGATATAAAAGTCAACAACATTCTGAAAAATGGCCTGGACCTCATTTATGATAACATTTCCCCCTACTCATCTGGCTTTATTATAGACTATTAGTATTCATGGTTGTGCTTGGATGATAATAATCTTTTCCTTTCAGATCACAGACTTCCATGGCTCCAGAGCCAACAGAGTTAATATTCATTATTGAGATGAGATCATATTACAGAATTGCCTGACTTTAGATAAGCAAATTATAGTGCTGTGGTTTAGGTTTCAACTATGATTACCATTTACCACAAAATTAGTTATAATAAACATTGAAAAATGTAATATATCCTGATAATGAACTATTAACAGGATATGTGGGCACATTCAGAACATGTTGATCCATGGACTAACTGATCCGCGGATCAAATATGACTCACTTGAACGCTTGCTGCATTATCCCCTGATGGGCACTAAATAGATTCTCCACAGGGATTATTTGGTAAGCTTTCAAGTGGGTTGGCCATATTTGATCTGCTTATGAGTAGCAGTAAAACACTGGGCCAAATATTTTTAAGTTCAAGTGTATAAATGATCTCAATATACAGGACTCGACCTTCATAATATAAACATCATCTGACAGCATTTAGTTCTATTAAAAGAAATTCTCTATATCTAATTTACTAATAAAATTAATAGAAAAAATCTGGCACATATCAGATCATAATTTCATCCTATTGGCTTAAAGTTCAAATATTCACAAATTTCTCTCATGTTACACAAAACACCATTTCACAACAAACAGAGTACTGCTGTAATGATTTGGTCCAAGAAAAAAAAAAAACTACTTCCCAACTCTACTGACAACACAGCCGCCTCAATCACTCTGACAAGACAGACATATAGCTCACCCCAGAATAATGATTGAGACCATTCCTCTTGTTGTTACTTCAACTTACACCATACACTAGACTCCTAGTCTCCTACTTGTTTCATGAAATTTGAAACACAAAATTTGTCAAACCTATCCCAGATTATTCTGAATCACTTGACATTGGTGTGGCTCATGTATAGACAATGTAGTATGGTAAACTTAACACCAGTTTAATCAATATTGTTATGTTGAACTCCAGTTTTGATTGGGTAATAAAAAACAAAGCGTATCCAAATTTGAACTGATAACAATCCTCAATATCCACAGACCTAAAACTATTAACACTTCTGTAAACTTACAATCACTAATAAGTAAATTATCTCTAGAGCTTCCACTTTCTATCAGTTTTTATTTCAACATTTTTATGGATTGTATCACTAAAAGTTCATGTGAGCCTTCAACCACTGCTGCACTCCTTCTAAGATACCTAAAATGAACCGTTTTTAATTCCCTTACTGTGTTCTTGTATTTGTAAATGCTATAACCCCAATTCTAAATTTCAAACTGTACAGAAATGTTTCAGTGGCTTCAGATGATAGATGTTAACAACCATGGCAAGGTATTTGATACACACTGACAATGCATCTTAAAGGCCACAATTCACTGCATACAAAAACAACACTTTTTGGCATACTTAATCTTTAAAATATGCACAAAGGACCTGATGATCCAAGCCCACACACACAAGACAAATGCACCTGTTCTTACCGAAATGAAAAATACCATATTTTAACCTGTGTCTGCCAATGACATACATACTTGGCCCAAAGCTGGCGATTGAAAAGAAAGGGGGATGGAGAAGGAAGTAATGTAGCTACAAACATGTTTGGTGTACCCATTCTAAAGCAGCCCAATATTTTTCACCAATGTCAGAGAGTTTTAGGAATCTGCTTCCCCATAGTGATAATTTTTTAGCAAGTCAGCAAATAGCGTGACCACATTCTCCCACCAGATTCTCTAGAGTGAGGGCATTCCAAAACAAAGATGCTACAGTGAATTAAGCATCCTGGCATTAATTGAGAAACAGCAGACATCAACGAAAAAAAAAATTACTGAAAAAAAAGACACCTTGAATTGTTTGTAAATACTTTGGGAGGCTCCAGCCTCAGATTCCAGACTGATGCTGGCTGCACATGAGTAATTTTGTGGAGACATGTAGTTTTTTTATGCTTCCTTATTAATCCCCATAGACAGCTACAGTACATCAACAAGTCCAAGACCAAAACAGCACGGAAGGCAAATGATTTTTTTTTTTGAAAATGTACTTATTTGATTTCCAAAAAAGATCAAAATCAAAAATAAGTAAAATTCAATGAAAAGTATACACTGACAACTGGCCATTTGTGAAAGAAAAGGGGTCATTATCATTTTTGTATAATGAGAGAGAGAGAGAGAGAGAGCCCATTAACACACCTCTCTCTAAACCATCTATATCAAGTACAATAAAATCCACTAAATCCACTAAGACCAAATCCTAAATACACTTCAAAAATTTAATTATTTTCAACATATTTCAAAGTGAGGGAATTTCATCGGCTTGGTCCATTCATTAAATAACTTATATTGATCACTAGGCATAACTGTAATAAAGTCAAAATATTGTTGAACAATCATACTACTTACAAAGACTGTACTTTCTCTTTCTTCTTTTAAAAAGAAACATTTTCTTCCTGTTGATTTTCTTTAGTAAAACTCTGATGTAATATCCACAAACATGTTTGTTGTACTTAGTCTTGTTTTTCTCTTATCTGTTTGAGGTAATAACAAAAATGCAGGAAATCCTTGGTGAAGAGACTTCATCTTCCACTAACATTCTTCTTGCTGCACCTAGATACTGTTCCTCTCCTTGAACAAAAACAAGCTTGGGAAGCCCAGTGAGCACAAAACATCTCAAATCTCCCTCAATTTTCTATTCTTTTCCAAAAAAAGTTTTTGTAAATCTTACACAAGAAGCTATCACTGTGGAGCAAGGACCAAGAGCAGACGGCATCTCACAGCAGAGACTTGCAAAGCAAGAAAAGCTTTAAGTCTGGTGATTCTCAGCCAGCTTTCTATACTCACGAGTTACTAAGAAACCAATTAATTATAAAGCTACAGCTCTCACTTTTTCAGTGAGTCACCCAAACTGAAGTATGTTCCTCAGAAGAGATATTTTCCTGGAGTGTACTTTAACGCACCGACCAGGTGTGCTTTACACGGACTATCCCTAAATTTGAGACCAGAACGCTGATAAACCAAGCCGATTTCATATCTTACCCATCTATCATTAGCACTGGTTTATTTATTACAAAGACAGTTTCAAGGAGATACAAAAATATCCATTAAAGTAACAAATGTCAGGGATGTTGTTCTACATAACCTCAACAGAACATCAGGATGAAACTGTACAAACCAAATTAGTGATACTGGATGAATGATATCCAATACTTACCTTTGCCCAGTACCTTAACTATTAACCTTAAGAACTTACACAAATCTACCACAGAAAAAGAGCAACTCTAGCAGGAAGAAACAAGGGACCCAGCATGCTGAGAAACTGCCCAAGCTATGTTCAAATCATTAGATCTGTAAGCACTAAATTTAACTAAATAGAACTGCAAGCATCAATCTTTCGTTCTTGATTTAAAGCTAGTAGAACAAATGTGGTTTGTTCTGAAGCTTATCTCATTTATCACATGTAGTTTAGAAATGCAGGTATTGCAAGTATTTCTTTAAGTTGCAATTGATTTTTTCGGAGTGACATCAACATGTTTTTGTTGTTGTTGACTACAGAATATACCTAAATTGCGGGTTCAAAAAAATAAATCAAAAGCGTGACTGGCGTGATTCAACCCATTTGCATCCTCGCTACTTGATTCATCAAAATTATCATTCCTCTCTTCTCAAATATATGTTTACACATTTGCCACATTTTAACATTAAACTTCTACAAATATCTAGTTACACTACAAAAATGTGTCAAGAAAAAAATATTGTTCCATGCCAGCAGTACAGATAATTCTTTTCAATTTTTCATTATGCTGAATGGATTTTATTTTCATTGCAATCATTCTTTTCTAATTCCTGGTGGTCATTACTATCATTAATGTTGCTGAAAATCTCAGTATTTCAATTTGCAAATTAGCAACGATCCCCCTGCCACCCAATGTTAAAAATTACACCAAAAACTGTCAAGAAAGAACAAGTAAGACCAAATCCCTGTACAAAGTCTCGTTTTAAAAAAACTTAGGAATCTTAACTTACCATATAATTTATAAGAGAGATACGTCTAATGCTGATGATGCCAATTTGCCCTTTTTCCTTCAAAATCCATTCTTGACATTTCATACCTTTTTACAGTGTCAACAACTCAAAGCCATGTTCTTTTTTCTTTGTTTAGCAATCACCTGTTTAAGAAAAGACAATCACTGTGCCCACCTATTAAGCCTCCGTCTGATGCGATTTCACACAAGTGTACCCAGACATCAAAGCTGACATGGAAGACGACATAAAACTTCAAAGAGAATGCCTGTGGATATCTGGCTATGACTGGCGATAAACGATAAATGGCAACCTGTACACATCTGAACAAGGGCGGGCAAAGAAATGAAACGCCTTAACGAGTGTCACAACCTGACAGAGAACACCATCAGTTTTGTAATTAACTATTTAACGACTGTGTTATTACATTAAAAAAGGAGGAATGGTTGATCTTATTTAATTAATGTCTTCAGGACTATAGTCAGTAAAGGATATCAAGGGGGGTCTGAAAAAGTGGACCCATTTACCCTATTTGATGACTTAAGCTGAGAAATGACATGGAATCCATATCAAACTTTGATTTAGAACAGTTCTTTTCCAGCAAAATGGGAGATTTTTTTTTTTTTTTTTTGAATACCACCCCTACCTACAGACAGTGATTTTGCCAAGACAATATTTATGAATTCATCATTACTGCCTCTAAGTACTGTAATCAACATTTCAAAAAAGACTGATTCACTTCACCTTTTCCCTCTCCCTTTATCATTTTTATTATTTTCTCTTTTTAATTATTTTACCAATTAGTATCCTTACCCATTCATGAATAATATAAACACTTCCACCTAGAACAATCTAAATTTTTCATACGTTTCTTTTCATCAAAATTTAAAATAACAAAGTCATATCCTTTGAAGAGAAAGTAAGAAACCAAATCAGATGTACATTCCTGAGCAGGATATAATATTATATGCACTATCTGCCATCTGTCTCAGCGGCAGTTCTTTTCCTCTCAGACACAGGCTCAGGTGCTCAAAGCCATGGCGCTGCGAGTGGTCCTACATGGTCTTAAGAACTACGGAGGAAATAACCCGACTGGGTCAAACCACCGTAAAATATCAGTAAGTTCTAAATCATAACATACATATATATATGGAGACATACAATGAACTAGTAAAAGAAATGTTTCAAAAAAATACCCCAAAACTCTTTTCCTGAATATGAAATATTTAAATAATTAAAATAGTACCATTCAACGAAATAGAAAACAAATTCTCTCACCCCATACTTTGCCCATTGCGAACTGCATGCTGACTTCCACATAGGTGGTCACTGTGGTCACTACTGTTGTCCAGGGCCAGGCAGCCAAATGATAAACTAGCTGTCCATCTCACAGAGACTACAGTTATTATTTTTCCGAGTCACGAACTGGTCGTCCCACCAACTGACCATCGGCTCATCAATTGACCGAAGCAATTACACAGAGAGTCTCAATGGAATGCAAAGACGGGTGATTCAGTGATGACTTCCACGGGAGGAGGGGGCGTGTGCTTTAACAGTCCAGGTAAAAGCATAGATCACAGGTGGTTAGTGTAACACCAGGTAAGGAATAAATGGACTGCGGCCCTCCCCCTGGCAGATAAGGCTGCTAAAGAGACTCATTATTACCCCTGAATGGTCTACAACTGGGGTTTAATTTAACTAAGTGGAAAACAGACATGGGGTGGTCTGCTTCATGATGCTGATTTGTGTGTTGATTCACTGTAAAGTAATGTCACAACATTATTGAAAAATGGGTTTGTTGCTGATGGCTTTCATATTTGTGGTAAGATTTGTTCGATATACTTGTATACACAGTTTAATAAAGAAATAATGGGCTCTTTATCATACATTGCACCTGAATATTGTTTGAGAACTGACAGGAATTTTGAATACACAAAACAACAGATTTAATCTCAAACAAAAATTTTTTAAAGAACTAGGTCAAATTACTTTCAAAGAGTCAAAAGTGGACTGCTGATTTCCATTGTTGCTCAATCTAACCTACACTTGATTTTTATCTATTTCTTTTTTATTTCCAAATGTTTTACCCCTGGCCTCACCCACAACTGTCAGCCTATAAAACAATGAGCCTAACTACATGCCAAAATACACAACAATGAGCAACAATAATCAAACCAAAATGATGAAAAACAATAAACAATATAGCAATAGAACCACTGCCCTTCCCTCGGTAACTGACCACATTGGTCATTCCCCATAGATAAATATTACTATCTCACTGTTGTGGTTCGAATGCCCACCACAACGGTCAACTGATTGTCAAAAAGTCATTAACAATGCTTTATAAACATTCATTTCTCATCGATAATATAATTGTCTCAATAGCTGTGGTTTAAATGCCCACCACAATGGTCAACAGGTAAAGATAGTGACATATCGAGAAAAAAAAACTTACATGTGATCCACTGCATATTGACAGTACATACTGCAACTTGAGTTATTAATGCTTACAACCTCTGTTATCAGTCATGTTGTGATATGTTCTTACTTCATCAAAAGTGGCTGAAGATCCATTGGCGATCCAATCCCTGTCAGCTGGTTGGTCATCTGACTATGATGGTCAGTCATATACCTTACAGCATCAAAACTTGAGTGTCCTGTAGACCAGCTAACATATTCCACACCAGTTCATATCCAACAGAATCACTTTGTAGACTTTTACTGAATACCCACTGGCTATATGCTACCAAACCCACTAGAGTCCAAAAGATCGAGTGTTTCCATTTCAAGCAATATTCATGTGCAGGCAAACTGTATCCAAGTTGAGTGAATAATGTAATTTGGCCCATTAACAGTATTCACGAGATATTTTAAGGTGAGAAGAATCTGAAGACATTCAATATCCATTCTAAAGGGCCTGAGGGCAAGTCCACAATGAAAGATGGGCCAAGTTGTAAAAAACATGTTTAGTTATTGTTTTACAAAGTGTGATATTTGCAGCACAGGGCTATAAAAAGTTTGATAGTAAGGAAAAATCCCTTCAGCAAAAGAATTGTCGGACTATTAGGATTTTTAGCCACTGGATGAAGTGATCAACTATCAAGTAACAAAATGGCTTTTAGCAAACAATCCTGAAAACATCACCTCTTAGTCTTATCTCAAATTGCTTTTTTTTGTATATTTATTTATATTTTCACTAACTTGATAATGGGTAAAATATATAATTCAAATTCAAATTTTTATTTTTAAAAGGGATCCTCGTGGATATTTACTAGTGCTCCAGAATAGTCACTACTGTCAACTGACTGGACCACCAATAAAATATGAGATGCAACAATTAAGTAATCAAAAATTGATTTTTTTCTCAACATATTATTTCCCCAGCTATTACACAATCTTTGAGCCCTTTCAAAGTGACTCATTTCTTCGGGATGTGTTCCAAAGAAAAAGCAAGCCTTTCAACAGTTAACATCATAATCCAAGTTTGTATTCAATTTCATAAACGGCCACAGTAGCATAAATGCCCTTGAAGCAATTTAAACAAAGCCATTACTTTGAGATGCAGTATACATCCCCCTGGCTATTGAGAGAGCTTGAACTCTCCATTGGACCCAACACTAAGTAATGATAAGTTCAGATAGCACCAATACCTAGCCCTGGGGTTGGCAGTTACACAGATTAATTCACATGATTTACTTAATGGATTGCTTGCTGACTAGGAAAAGTGTCTGATGCATATACTGCCTAATGGCCATTTCCTGTGAGCTTCCATATTCATGGTCTTAAGATTCTGCAGTAGAATTGTTATTGATCCGGACTGAACCAGTGAGACAATGATGAATTTTCACTATTGCGTTATCTATTTCTTTAAAATTGGTTAAAACTACACTACAATGAAATCATGCTGTCCTCATCTACTTACCAGGTACTATAGTTAATATTTTGCCTTTTTTACTTACTTTTCGGTGTTTGTGACAAAGAATTTTCCCTGATGCTTTCCAATGCTTCGTAACCCCATCTCAAGTCAAACTCGGCTTTTCCTTCATCCAGGCGGAGGACTGGGACATTTGAGCTTGGGCATCTCTCTTCTGCAATCTGCACAAAAAGAAAAGAAAACATGCTCCATAAAAAATCATGCCTTTAACAAAGAATATTTTTCTTATTGGCTATAATTAGACAAATGCATATTGATACAGCTCTGAAAGTCATACACTCAAAAGCAAGTAAACATTTGCACACTGTCATGTTAATCCTCTGAAAAGTATGAAGTCCTTTTTAACAGGCTGTATTAGTTGAGACTGCCCTAGATGTGACAGACACAATTGTGCTAGATGTGACACATAGGATGTGCTCTGTACAATGAGGTACTCAACCATTCAGCCTGAATACTGCATACAATTGATGCAAACTTTATATAAAAATTCTTCAGTAATTTAATCCGTAGAGAAGAAAGCAATTATAATCAATGTTTCAAATCAGTTTGTTTAGTTATTCTATGTAAGTGTATAGCAGGGGCGGATCCAGAGATATTTCCTGACAGACTTCCAAATTATCTTTGTTGATCCATCCTCCATTTTTGACCGTCTTCCGACAGAAAAAATTAGATACCCATCAATGTTAACTAAAAAATCTGACCGTCTTCCAGAAGACCCAGAAGACGGCCTAAATCCGCCCCTGTGTAGAGGGAATTTTATGGAAAAGGACAGACAGCACAATTATAATATAATATCTACTAACTTTGTTTCATAAATATCATAAATTCCACTTAAAGTTCACAATAAATACACAAGTTTGAATTTCACTGGTAATTCAATCTTACTGATATTCTATCATTTAATTGCCATTGAAATATGGAGAATCTCACACGTGAATTAGTTTCTAACCTTGGCATCTTAGACAATGCACCTAATACAAACACACACACTGACACACAAACACTCATCCTTGCTATCAAACCTACATGTCAGACATTACCAAGCACACCTTCCCTGACTTGCTACTTTTGCTAAGAATGATCAGAATGAAGAAAGTGATGCTAATGTAACAGCTGTGAAACACGCTTTCCACTTAAGGCAATATCACACATTGCCAATGTATTACAACATCATTTATTTATCTATTTATCTCATCTTTTTTCATCCTCTAGAGGAAAATATGCTAAAGCCATGGAGCATGGAATCAAAACAATCCATAACAAATATAAAATACACTTTCCACTTAAGGCAGTATACACTGAATGTGCATTATAGCATTTTCTCATCTCTTTTTAACCTTCATCAAAAACATGTAGTGAGTAGTTCTTAATTCATATCTAAATCCCAGAAGATCAATTTTCATTTCAGGTAATTATTTCAGCATAAACTACTAGTGCTTTGAGAAAAAAAAGGATAACAGACAAAACTAATTTTTTCAAGCTAAATATGGACAACACTCCATACTGTGTAACACTTTATTATGTATCACACCATACACTGAAGTCAGTTCTGCATTTCATTCCATGTCAGACCCAAAAGCAAATCAACTAGAGGAAGGTCAAGCATTAAATATTGAAACACCAACACAATAGGAATTGCTATACATCAATTACTGGCTCAAATTAAAATGCAGCAGCTCTGAAATTGAATTAGGAACTTAAGTGATTAGAAAAGAGGCAGAGAATTGATTTTTTTCTATCAGATTATCACAAAGACTAGAGGAGAAGAAGTAATGCCAATTTGTCACTGAGACAATACCATTTCTCCTCATCTTTAAAGAAGGGGGAGGGTGGTGTGTGGAAATGATTCCAGAATTAAAAACTCCAACTGAAAAGAGGAAGAGGGGGGGAAATAATTCCAAATGTTCAATATAAATGGTTTGAATAAAAAAATGCCATTTATACATGTCGGACGATTCACTTTCTCCATATGCTGTAGTTCACCATTCACTTCTGATTATACCCTCTCAGCTTCTCTCAATAGTTCTGATAAAATACAGTTTTAATTGGTGCATCAAAATCTGCATACGAATCAGAATCCCCTTTCCTAATCCACGCAAAGCTTAGCAACCTCATTTTTATATCTGGGTGAATTTCCAGGTCACAATGCACAGGAAAGTAGCTACCTGGTAGTTTAAATCCAAGACAAAATCTTACATCACTGGACACTTAGTAGAGGTCCTATCATAGGACCATAGTCTATCCAAGAGAGAGGATACAGAAGTTTCTAGTACATTGGTACAAATATCTAAAATTTCTAGCACTCTCCCCCCGTCTTCTTTTAATAACACCATCTACATACATGCAGAATGCATCTTTCATACATCCAACACTGTCACCACCTCTGATAAGCTAATACTACAAGGGATAGCCCCAGCGCTCTAGAAAATTCAGTTATGTCTGTGGGGGAGTTCAGAGTGTCAGTCTAATCATGACTAAGTGATGTCTATTTGTGGGATAAATTAATAATAACAAACCACAGGGACCTCATCATAACTTTCATGCAGGCAGGGTTCACCGAATTACCACAGATTAAATCGCAGGGATAAGACCAGTCCTCAATGAAAAAGTAGGAAAATTGGCCAGGGGTCCAGGGTACAAGATTCACAAGAATGACCCGATTGACCCTGAAAAAGTCGGAATTCTGACAAAAGTAGGAAAAGTCTCATCAGTGAAATTGTGAGAATTTTCTCACTGCAGTAGCTATAGCTGTAAAGTTTTTTTCCGTTATGGAGTACTGGAATATGTTTCTTTGGTGGTATCCAGTACAAAATTTTAGAGAGAAGAAATTACATTCTTTATACAAATCCCATATATATATTTCAAAAACTGTACATCCTTATTACTGTCGAATATCATTTTATCTATATTTTTTCCAGATTTGGTGTAACACTGTCAAGGTCATCAAGGTCAAGGTCACAGTCATCCACATCTCATTTTAAGCACACTCACTTCATTATTCCAACATAAGTCACTCATCAAAATAGACAAAAAAGCACAGGTAATATATCTCAAGAGAGTGACTCACATACTCATGAAATGATGTATGATCCTCTTCCTATGAGACCCTAGTGTATGTCATCAACAGTCACATACACTGATCAGGGGACAGCAATGAAGATTTTGACAAGCTTTTGGGCTATTTTTGAATTTTAGTGAAAGGCACATTTTTTTGTTTTCAAAAAACAGACTTGGTAATGAGACTGGTAGCCAGCACTGTGAGGTGACTGTAAACCTGGACTGAATTTATGAGCTTGGCCCTGTACCAGCTTTATAAGTTTTTTCTGTACCATTAACAATAATCGACATTTTTTTTTAATCGAAATCCCTTCTTTTGCATATTATATACACATCTTGTTTAGCATGAAGGAATGAAAAAGTAATCATAACAGATAAAAAAGATATAACAATTTCTTTGCTTTGTTATGAAATCCTGATGTAGATATGTCTTAGATGAAAGACACAATATTGGATTCTGTGGATATTCACTGCTACTTATAGTAAAATACTTGGACTTTATTCAAATAATCTCAATAACAAGTTCCTTTTAATGAACCGTGAAAGCCTCTTCATTTTCAATATCCATTGCTTATATTAAGCTTTTAAGAGGCAATTTTAGAAAATCAATAAGTACAAAATAATCTTCTACTATTTAAGTTGTGGATTATGCAGGCTGTCTGTTAATCTTTAGAGAATTGAGGTTGTTTCAGACAGAGAATTTTCTTGCAAGGCAATGTTGATAATGAAGAAATTTGATAAGTGGAAAAAAATATTATAATCTGTATTTTTTCTCATTCTTGCATTTATAAATTGCATGTAAGCAAATAAAAAAACCATTTAACAAAAATATACAAACAAAGTATAATAATTTTTTTAAAATTATATAATTTGACAAAATTCATCCTATATAATAAAAGATATTTTCCAGTTATAAGCACGCCTTGGCTTCTCCCCCAGAATAATAATTTATAAGAAGCCATACACCTGCTGGTAAGAAGAGAAAGCATGCAGGAATCCTTCCAAACAAAGAAAATCAATTTCCTGTATCCAAATGTGATGGTTAGCATTTCATGCACCTTTCAATCCTTACTGGAACAAAAAAACTGAATCTGAATTTATTTTGAGTTGACATTTCTGAGCTCATTTCAATTTCATTTATGACATGATATGTAATTTGGTACAATCTCAAGATGTCAACCTCCACGCATATCCCTTGTTTGTAGGAACACATGATGTAAAGGAAACCTGAACCCACATGCTTTAGAGGGAACAAATCTGCAGGCTTCATCAGTGACTGATTAGGACTTTGAAATTATCTGGACCTATTACAGCAACAAGGAAAAGAAAAACACAATAAATATCAATTATTTTGACAGACATATTGTTTGTGTATGAACTTAAAACTTGGTCTGAGTCACTGTGGACTGACTTCATTTCCTTTGGGGACAGCTCAATATAAAAACCTCCATGAGAAATAAAAATTGAGGAAATGTTTATACTGGGTATTGATTACACAGAGTTTCTGACTCACTGGCTTTTTTCCCAGATTGATTTTTGAAACCCAGAGAGCAAAACCTCCCTGAAAGGTGCAAAATACATCAATCTGTGCTGAGTTAATTTGAGGATGGCATGTCAAAAGGTTAGAACAAGCCAGTTGATTCACTTGGTGTATATTTAGCAGTTTATTCATCTGGAAATGTCTAATAATTGCAAACAATAATGTTCATATAAATACTAGTATCATAAATTTTTAAAAACTGTATTTCATGACAGTTACTGGAATAAGTTATTAGAATACTGATTATTTTCAACTGTAAAAAAAAAAAAAAAGAAAAAAAAAAAAACTGCACAAAGTCACTTTCAGTATCTTTTGACCCAGAACTTCACTCTTTTACCCAGAATTCATCTGCAGACTATTTGTAGCGGCTGGACTTGTGAAATATAAATTGCAAAGCTGATAAGAAGATAAATTGATGGCTCAGAATAAGATACTTGACAATCAAGTGATTATATAACTTTAGTCTTTTTGCTGAAAAATGTACTTGCAGTTAATGAACAATGTCAATATTGAAAGATAAAGCACTTTTATCTGTCTTTGTTAATTCTGTCCTTCATTCCATGTATATAAATAAGATAGCTTAGTCCAGTTTCCCTGACAATGAATCATTACATGGATAATTACTACATCATTTTGACAAGAATTTCTGGGAGACATTAGCAGAAAGCATCAAAAAGTTTTTAGATTTTACATTTTTAAATCAGTTCTTTTCTCTAAAATCTTCAATAAGAGGCAAAAAGAGCATATCTTAGGTTTTCTATGACAGAATTTGATCTACATATTCCAAAGTAATACAATATTCATTCATTTCATAATATATGTAATACCTAATAGGGGATTGTATCTGTTATATAAGGAAGATGTCATATCCTTGACACAATATCTACACTGAGGGTGACTGACTCCCAATGTGCCCAAATAATTTCAACATTTTACTATTGCAAATATTAAACCTATTGTGCAATTTTAAAAACATTATTAAAGAAAGTCTTCAACAAGCCACACATATTAGGAGTTTGATTCATGGTAACAGATTTTGTTGTTATGCATTGCATATCACATGATCAGGTCGAGGCCAACGTGGCAATTGACAAGTCCTAAACTTATGTGACAGTCACTTGTCACCCCCAGCCACGTAAAGTCACGTAGCAGAATAGGCCATCAGTGACATTTTGTTCATAGAAAATGGAGACCCAAGGAGAAGAATCTAAGAATCACTTTATGAAACGAGCCATAGAGCTTAGCCGACATGCAGTAAAAGTTGGGGATGGGGCCCCATTCGCATGTGTTATTGTCAAGGACAACCAGATTATAGGTAAGACAACTAGAACTGCAAAAAAAAGAAAAATTTATATGAAAGTTAAACCTTTTCTTTAATACACTTTGTTAGGTATTACACACTGTTTTTCTTACAGTTATATTATTGTCAAGAAAAGCCAGATAAAAGATATGACAAAGAGTGCAACAAAAATCTATGATTGACTGTTAGTTGGGTATCATGCATAATCTTTGCAGTGTTCTTACCTTGGGTATGCTAGTATGGGACTTCTGTTCATGTCCTAAAGGTGTACTTAAAATTTCAGGGTAAAGTGAAACTGATCAGATTGCCAACCACCGATCTCAGCCATAATTTAACCAAACATACATCATTTTTGCTGAGTATTGTTCATCATCAATTCTTATTTGCAGGTGAGGAGTGGAACCATAAAAAATCCCACTAATGATCAGATTGTGGAACATTGATTCAACCAAACATCATTTTTGCCGAGAACTGTTCATCATCAATTCTTATTTGTAGGTGAGGGGTGGAACCCTCCAGATTGTTGACCACTGATTCTAGCCACAATATAACCAAACATCATTTTTCGCTAAGTATTCCATTCTATTTTTCAGGTGAGGGGTGGAACCATACAAAATCCCTGTACGACCCTACAGCTCATGGTGAAATAAACGCCATACGTAACACATGCCAGGCCATGAAGACTTTGTCACTAGAGGGAGCTGAGACATACAGTAGTTGTGAACCATGTCTTATGTGTGCAGCTGCGATACATATCATTGGGTACAGAAAACGTGGTTTTTCCAGTTCATAATTCATTTTTATTTCCTAAAATCAAAAACAAAAAAAAATTAATTTCTACCAATGAAAGATTTTACAAACTTTTGAAATTCTCACTTGAAGTTTTCCTTGAAATTCAGTAACTACTATTAAATGAGAAGAGAAGTATCAAGCATAAAAACACAGGGGGGGGGGGGGCAGGAGCGGGTGGAGGCAAATAAGTAAAAAGCCAAATGTTAAAAAAAGAAGCATTCATTTCCACGAACTTTTGACTAAAATAAAACAACTTTCACTAGAAAAAAAAAACACCTATTATTTACTTTTTATTACTTGGTGTACATTTCAGGGTTTCCAAGGTTTATTATGGCGTATCCAAGAGTGTGGTCTACTCCATATTGGGTCACCCCCTAGAGGCCATTGAGGAAGACCTGAAAAATCCAACTGACCAGCGCAAAATTCCTGCACAAAGCCTACTATCAGGAGAAGCTCAGAAAGTTGTTGAAGAATGGCACCAAGGAAAACATTGAGAAACTGTGTCCCTGACAATAACCATTTATTTAGTCACTTGAAAAATCACTACCTTTCTGTACTGTTCTGTACTTACAGAATAAAGTACTAAGACTGAATGAATCTAGTATGTGATAATTTATAAAACCAAGTTAAGGTACAAGCAAATCAAACTTAGAGGGCTTGCAAATATTCACAGATGTTCTAACTAAATTATAATTTAGAACATTTGTTTTTTTTTTTCTCTTCCACAATGCTGAACACTTATAAAAGTTTTCATGTTTACCATTACACGGGAAAAATATCAAGAGTGACTTAAATAAAACTTTGTATGTAAATACAAAACTAAACAGGAACAATTATTTTCCCTCCAAACATAATAATTAAAATAACTAAAATATTACGAAATAACAATTAATTAAAAATCATTAACCAAATCAACCAATCAATCAATCCCCCAATCACCAATCTAAGAATCACTTTATGATACGAGCCATAGAGCTCAGTAGACATGCAGTAAAAGTTGGGGATGGGGCCCCCTTCGGATGCGTTATTGCCAAAGACAACCAGATTATATGTAAGACAGAAAGCAGAGCAAAAAAGAAAACAATATACATGAAGGCTTTCTTTGATATACTTTGCGGGCTATTACACAGTCACTGTTCTCCTTACAATGTCAAGGAGAACCACATTATAGATAAATCAGAAAGCATAGCAAAAAAAAAAAAAAATATATATATATATATATATATATTAATGAAGGTCCTTTATACATTTTTAGAGTATTACACACTGTTCTCCTTATGGTTGTATTGCTGTCAAGAAAAACCACATAAAAGATATGACACAGAGCACAACAAAAATCTATGATTGACTGTAAGTTGGGTATCATGCATAATCTTTGCAGTGTTCATACCCTGGGCATGGGACTTATGTTCATGTCCTCATGGTGTACTTAAGAATTTCAGGGTAAAGTGAAACTGATCAGATTGCCCAACACCAATTCCAGCCATAATACGACCAAACATCATTTTTGCTAAGTATTGTTCATCATCAATTCTCATTTGTAGGTGAGGAGTGGAACCACACAAAATCCCACTAACTGATCATGTTGTTGAACACTGACTCAACCAAACATCATTTCTGCTAAAGTGTGTATTTTTAAAAATATTATTAAAGAAAATATTCAACAAACTACACATACTAAGAGTTTGATCCCTGGTAATGGGTTTCACTGTTATGCATTGCACATCGCATGATCAGGTCAAGGCCAACATGGCACTTGATAAGTACTAAACTTATGTGACAGTCACTTGTCACCCCCAGCAGTGTAAAGTCACATAGCGGAACAGGTCACCTGTGACATTTTGTTTATAGAAAATGGAGGGTCAAGGAGAAGAATCTAAGATTCACTTTATGAAACGAGCCATAGAGCTCAGCCGACATGCAGTAAAAGTTGGGGATGGGGCCCCCTTCGGATGTGTTATTGTCAAGGACAACCAGATTATAGGTAAGACAGAAGGCAGAGAAAAAAAGAAAAATATATATGAAGGTTTTCTTTAATATGCTGTGTGGGGTATTACACACTGTTCTCATTACGGTGGTATTATTGTCCAGGGTAGCCAAATTACAGGTAAGACAGAAGGCAGAGAAAAAAAATATATATGAAGATCGTTAATACACCCTTTGAGGTATCACACACTGTTCTCCTTACAGTAGTATTATTGTCAAGAAAAGCCAGATAAAAGATATGACAAAGAGTGCAACAAAAATCTACGAATGACTGTGAGTTGGGTATCATGCATAATCTTTGCAGAGTTCATACCTTGGGTATGCTGGGAATGGGACTTATGTTCATGTCCTAAAGGTGTACTTTAAATTTCAGGGTAAAATGAAACTGATCAGATTGCCCAACACCAATCCCAGCCATAATATAACAAAACATCATTTTTTGCTGAGTATTTCTTATCATAGGGGTGGAACCATACAGATTGCTGAACAGTGATTCTAGCCATAATACAACCAAACATCATTTTCGCTAAGTATTCCATTTCATTTTGTAGGTGAGGGTTGGAACCATTCAAAATCCCAGTACGACCCTACAGCTCATGGTGAAATTGATGCCATACGTAACGCATGTCGTGCCATGAAGACTTTGTCACTAGAGGGCGCTGAGATATACTGCAGTTGTGAGCCATGTCTTATGTGTGCAGCTGCGATACATATCATTGGGTACAGAAAATGTGCTTTTTCCTATTTTTACTTTGTTTTATTTCCTAAAATCAAAAACAAAAAAATTATTTCTTCCAATGAAATATTTTACAAACTTTTGAAATTCTCACTTAAAGTTTTCCATGACATTCAGTAACCACTATTAAATGAGAAGAGTAGTATCAAGCATGAAAACACGGGGGAGGGGGAGGGGGGGGCAGGAGGGGGTGGAGGTAAATAAGTAAAAAGTCAAATATTAAAAAAGAAGCATTCATTTCCAAGAACTTTTGACTAAAATAAAACAACTTTAACCAAAAATTAAAGTACCAATTATTTACTTTTTATTACTTGCTTTACATTTCAGAGCTTCAAAGGTTTACTACGGCGTATCCAAGAGTGTGGTCTACTCCATATTGGGTCACCCGCTAAAGACCATTGAGGAAGACCTGAAAAATCCAACTGACCAGCGCAAAATTCCTGCACAAAGCCTACTATCAGGAGAAGCTCAGAAAGTTTTTGAAGAATGGCACCAAGGAAAACAATGAGAAATTGTGTGCATGCACACACACACACACACACATGTGCACGTGCGCATACACACACTAACCATTTATTTAGTTACTTGAAAAACCACTACCTTTCTGTAGCTTTCTGTACTTACAGAATAAAGTAATAAGACTGAATGAATTTAGTCTGTGATAATTTATAAAGCCATGTTAAGGTACAAGCACATCAAACTTCTTAGGTTAAAGGGCTAGCAAATTCAGATGTTCTCACTGAATTTTATAATTTAGAACATTAGAACGATAGTATAATTTCCCAAAACAGATGACAGGAGATCAAACCAATGACCCAAATAGTCATTTAGGTCAATCAACAATTGTTTGTACAGTGATAATATCTGCCACACACTCACTTCCCAGTCGCTATTAACTTAGACGAGCAATGGTGATCACTTGTTCTGTAAATTTATAAAATGGCCACAGAAGAGGCCCTAAAGCTGCATTTCATGAGGAGGGCTATAGAACTCAGCAGAAGAGCAGCAGCCACTGGAGATGGTGAGGCTTTTGGAAGTGTCATTGTGAGAGATGACAAGATTATAGGTAGGGTGCAATGAATCATTAGAATTATCTATTCAGCTTATTGTGTTACATGCATGTTGTTGGTTGTACATTCTGCATATCATTTTACATAAGGGAAAGAAAATGATTAATGCAAATATGGCAAATAAAAATAAGCTGTCAACAAATACAGGAAAGAAAGTCACTGTAATGGGTGCTTTATGCTTGTGTCGTATTGGAATATTCCTGTAAGGGATCTATCATTGTGGGTTTGAGTATGAAAAATGAGCCCCTGATCAGTCAGGTGTACCCCCTTACTGTAGGTCCTACCATTGCCCCTATCACCACTAGTAAAAGAACATGATTATTTATAATGAAGCTGACTATGCAATTTTAGCGGCCTAAGCTAACCACATAAAGCAGGCTTTGGTCCATGACACCTGGGCAAGAGCAGGACATGTGGGACTGAGGGCTATATATCCCAGCACACCTGGGGACCAGCAGACACACACCATCTCCTTGGGCTGCATTTGGCCAATTTCTACAAAAATATTTTCTAGCCCCCCCACCTTTATATGTTACATTGAGATTATCAATAAAGGGCTCTAAAATCCATGTCTACTTCTGGATGTTATTCTATTCATGCTAGTTATTTTTGTACAAATCTTATTCCAGTGTTCAAACTAAACATATTCCATCTCTTGCAGGAGAAGGCTGGAATCACATCAAAGTACGCCATGATCCCACTGCACATGGAGAAGTGGAGGCCATTCGTAACACGTGCTCAGCACTGAAGACACTGCATCTCACGGGAGCCGAGATCTACACGAACTGTGAGCCATGTATCATGTGTGCTGCTGTGATACAGTATGCTGGGTACGACAAGTCAAAGGGGACATGTTCTTTGAAATATTAAAAATATTAACTTTTTGTGTAAAAAGATGATCATTGTCATTTTCATTTGTCAGAACAATTATGGATGTTATTCAATGGCTTTTTTCTTTTATATTAATTGTGTTTTCATGGCAACATAAATGTTTAAAATGTGTTCATATTAGAAATGTGTCATTTTACAGAATAGTCAAAATTTACTATGGGACCACAACAGATGATATTTCTCCCCACTTTGAGGATGAAGCTGGATGTGTAGACGTTAAAGCCGTGGCAGACGACCTTAGAAAAGCGACCAATCAGAGAAGGATCCCTGCAGAACAACTGCTGCCTGGTGAAGCTATTAAAGTTTTTGATGAATTTCACCCCAAAAAGACAAAATCTTAAGCAAACTCATATGCTCTGGCATGCTTTTTTTTTTTGACTCAGTGTAAATGAAATGGTAACAAAGCTTTAATGAAGCCATAAATAAATATAATAGAAAAAAAAACATCACTCACCTTCTCTGTCCTGTGCATAGTAAGGTTATGTTGCTCCTGGAGAAGAACACAGAAGGCAGGTTCAAATTTTGGTGCTGGGATGTTGCCATTTTCAAACAACACAGTTTCCTCTGGCTTATCAAGCACTGCAAAATAAATGAAAATCATTAACATTGACTGGTATACTTTGGCGATACAGTCTGTACCGTTACAATGTGAGATATCACATTTTAGGTTCTGCATGGCTTATTTATACTGCTCTATGTGAACAGGACCTCCTGATCTTCCCAACCTACCCCGCCCCCTCTGCGAGCTCCCACAAACCACTGCCAGCAAACTGGCCCAGGTTGTCCTGAACATCCCCGTCAGCAGGCTGCCTGAACAGGCCATAGGCAGAGAAAACAGAGACTAATCATCATAGAACATACCAAGTATGAAATAATAGCATGTGAGTCATGAGAAAGGGAGAAGTTTGGAGAGATAAAATGAAAGCGTTCCAGTTACTGAGCTTATTGTTTCCCTGATGGCACATTATATGGTGAATGACTCTTCTTGAGCATCTTTATGTAGAGTTGCCAACATGACACAAGTCAAATTGTGTAGAAATAATCTCCAAGGCTTTATGAACAATAAAATAACACCTGTAAACAATGGGAATTTGTCCTAATTAATATGTATATTATGAGTAATTGGGTAGAACTGGCAACTCTGATCATGTGTTTGACCAGAGGCAGAAAGTCATAGTGCATGAAATGGAAATGAATGAGGCAAATATCAATACCACATTTTTCAAACCAATAGTACCACAAAAGAAAGGGTTCCAGTCCACTGTTTTGAATCTGGGCATGCATAATATTTTAAAATTAATCTAATACAATTGTTCTATAAATAGTTTCTTAGAAACAAATGGTATTAATTTTTTTTGACTAACATTTTTTTCACATTCTGATCAGGCAAAAAATCATTTTACCTAGATATGAAAATAAAGACATGGAACAGTGAGACCAGGATACCAGGCGAATTCAGGGAGCAGTCATTGTAGTGATTATATGCTTATTATTGCTCCATTACCGACATATGTTATCAATCAGGTACAATTTGAGGAGGTGAGCTACCTACTCTTATCATTATCTTCTTCATAAAGACTATTATGATCATTAAGCATCATAAATTGTCTTGTATTATGGTCAGTGTATTGTGGTGAATACGTGTGTATGTACGCGAGTGCGTGTGCAACCAACATTTTCACGTAATATTAGCCTTTGCTATCCAGCGCAGCATCTTTGCTACAGCTTTCACTTTTTTATTCTCTTGTAAAGCAAGAAATTGGTTGTTTTTAAATCAAACTCAAATTTATACAGCTTTAAAGAAATCAATAAAATTAACACAGCATCAAACTCATGCATTTTTCATGCGGCCGCTTTACCACCACTTTATTCCACATAAATTTTATATGCTCTGTTAATTTGGAAGGATACTTCAGAAATTACTTCCGAAGTGAAATTGACCACAAATTAACCGATCTGATTATTGCAAGACCTACGGAGTCTTCCCTCTGTGAAACAAATCAATAATCCTAGTCATGTTTAACTGCCCACGTACCCTGCCGCTTATCTAATGAGAAAGTGTATCTCGAAACAAAAGCTAATAAACTTGACTCGGGCTCGACTTCTTTTCCTCGTAGGTCATGTCCAAACGAACGCTGACAAGTATGAACTGATTATTAATCCAGTTACCATTCATATTTCCCTGGTGTGTTGGCTTTAAGGTCTTTCAGCACCATTAGATACAGCTATTAATGGTAACATGGATGTTTAAGTATAAGCATGGACTGTCTGATGATGAACATTCGTTCATGGATCATTGCTTTATGGCATATGGATCTACTCCCTTCTTAAATTATATGAGGGAAAAATGACATTTTACTTTTAAAAGACATAAGACAATTTAGATACCAATTTGTGGAAATAATCATTGACATGTGGTAAATACATTCAATAATTCAAATGAAAACAAATATAATTCAATGTACGGGCAAATGTGGTACTTTCAATCATGCCTCATTTTTTCAAGATAGGCTCACATAACTGTTAACCACAGATTAAGTGTTTGAGTTACCATATGCATGAATTTCTAATTGCAATATCTTGTTAATTTATATGAAAGCTCTTGGTCTGACACAGTTCTGTAGACCCCACTGCCAAGAATGATTACCTCTCATTTCACGGCTCATCTTGTCAACTGGTACACCTCATTTCACAGATTTACTCTTATGTGATGAGAAGCTTATTAGCACACATTAGGCCTCACACATGCTTCTCCAAAGCAACTACCTCCTAGTAAGATGATGGCTTTATCTTTGGTCTGTAGATTCAGGGCAGGGGTATCATAATGGGTGTCAGTTGTCTGTGTTGGAATGCAAAAACTGATGGTTGTTGATATCTTATTTTGATTTACAAACTCTCCCATTTCTCCTGATATAAATCCTTCCAACTATTCTGGTTTTGGACAATAGAAGACACTCAATGAAAAATAAATACCCTGCTTTTATTTTTCATAAGAAATTTAAATTAAAAAAACAACAACTAGGTATTTAGATTTCAAGTTACAATAATTATATGCATGATGATATTATAATTAGAACAGCAGATGCTAACACTACCTTCAAGGGCCTTGAGTCTATTTAAAATATTCATGGTTGTGGACGTTCATATTAGACATAAATACATGTAAGGCACCATATCAATATTCATCTTTTTTTTTTTTTTTTGCTTTTTATTGCATTTTTTGTACTGCATGGAAAAAGGCATGTACTTGTTTACAAATGTGAGTTGATTCATGAGCTCTTAAAAAAGACTGTTCTGGGAAATTTTTAAGTTGGCCTCCTTACATGACATGTTAAGTGTTCCCTAACATTACTCCAGTGCTCTGTATTTGATGTATTCGCTCACCAAAACTACCAACGGAAATTTGCAGCAACTCTACTCAAATTAGAACAACACACAGGTGAACCTGGCAATTTACCATCTGACTCTTCTCTTTTCTATTGTCACAACTCACAACTGTTATGAGACACTTCGAGGCTGTCACTGATGACTTTTTATTACCTAGGTTAATTGCTTATTTCATGCTCTAAGAGTTAAAACCATCAGTTACAATACAAAATTCTCAAGGAACTCCAGGTAACACACATTTGTGTACAAACAAGGCTGCCTAATGATAATACGAGCCCCAACTTGTTATAAAATTACTAGTATTGTATTTACTCAACACCAGGAGGAGGTGTTAGTCTGTTAATCAGACTGCATTTAGCAAGAGTCCCCATGGAGTTGGTGGACACTAGCTAATGCGATCAAACTCATTCTAACACCTCCAAGATGGCTGTACTAGCTCTGCCCTTAAAACATGAACACACACATAAAAAAAAAAAACATGAAACAAGATTATCAACTCATGCAGAACGTTGTCACATTCCATTACTTATTGAAAAAGTTCCAGGATGCTCAGGTCTGAAATGTCAGGCCTTCCCAACTACCAGACTCGGCACCTACGGGTCCAGAATAAACCGGTATATCTGACCACACTACCCGTTTTCAAGGTGTGTGTCAGATCGTATAAAAGAGTATCATACCCTATCACAAATTCTGTAAGCCTACCTGTCATCCGGGTATCACGCCTCGTTTTCGTCAAGTAGGAGTCGTATGAATAGAACAGACGACTCCCTCAATCAGGGGGTGGAAACGCGCTACTTATATGATTAAGACGAGCCTAGCCGTCAGTACCGGTTATTGTTTTGTGACCTTGAGGAGCAATGAGGTTTGGTCGTTGCGGCACGCATGAACAGTAGTTGAACTACCGCACCTGGGTCTTTTGTTTTTGACAACTGTTCACTCGTCATCGAGGCGCTTGTTCAAGACTACAGGCTGATATCTACTAGTACTACCAGTGGCTTCATTAGTAATGTTCCCACAATACTTAAGTTTTCTGTCCGTGCATACAAACCCTGAAAAAGGACAGCCTCGCTGACGAGAACAATAGACATTTCTCACCCCTCTCTAGGATTACCCCTGCCCTCAATCTCGTCCATCCCAGTAGTCATGAAAATAATTTAACCCCCGACAGAATATGCTTCTGCTATCAAAATTAAGTCTACTTTTCTAAATTAATATATAAGTTTGCAAGTTCTTATTTACAAAACATCATTGGCTATGTCCGAACCTAAATTTTATGTTAAAAATTGCGGTACTGTCAGATTTTAGCATAAACAGAGAAAATTGCAGCAGCGCATGAATCTAGATGAGATGCACTACTTTCCAACCCCGATTAGGATCATTGCTATCACATCGCGCACCAGGCAAAATCGGTGTGGTGGCTGATACTCTGTAATGCGATCTGACACACACCTTGAAAACGGGTAGTGTGGTCTGATAAACCGGTTTATACTGGACCCGTAAGTGCCGAGTCTGGTAGTTGGGAAGGCCTGAATGTGAGATGGCTGTACTTTGGCACTGACATCCACATAGGTAATGAGGAAATACTGTTATCACTGGGATATAACAGAACGCATTTCACCTGTGCCTTTCTCATGGAAAAAAAAAAAAAAAAAAAAAAAAAAAAAAAACACACAGAACGAAAGAGTCATGACTCATTTTCACAATGCATCTTTATAATTTGGTTTCACAAGCTTTCGTTTCTTTTCATAGCCAAATAATTCAATGCAAGTTTGCAAGATAGTTTGCTAGTTACCAATCAGAGCTTTAACTGTCTTCGTATTATATTGAGAAACCTACATAGAAGATCAGCATATAATCATTTCTCCAAAATCTAACATTTAGTCGACACCTCAAGAAACAGTCCCACCAAGGTTACAAAGGGGTGGTCATAAATACATCCTCCATCAAGGTGGTATCATTAATAACATTATTATTTCATACTGAGAGCTAACTAAGTTTGGCATGCCATGACCATTGTACTGGCAACATTAATTCTGCACTTTGATGTTACAATACTGACAGCTTCAGGCAAGAGATTTTTTTTTTTTGGACATAACAAAACGTATAATTAACTGCACCTTGCACTTGGGTAGATTCACATCAGGAATGTGCCTCAAACTACACCTGTTAAGTGGAGTTCAGATCAGTTTAACCAAAATCTGATATTTAGGAACAATATGTCCCTTTCATCATTTTGTACATATGGTGTTCCTTTTGCACCTAAATTAACCCTGTAAGTAAAATTTCATTTTATTGTCTTTATCTTTTTTTTCTATTTATCAGTCTTGAGAGAAACTGATGCTGAAATGTAAAGAAGAAGAAGCAACTGTGCTTAAGCACCATCAGTAAAACATAATCTTCCTTTAATACACAGTTCTATGTTCTACCCACAAATTGATCATGTTTCAGTTCAGTGGGTTGTGTCCGTACCCACTTCATGTTGTGCCATATATCATATAGCGAACACTGGTGACAGGTCCTCTTATTGGGGTGACACCCCTCCAGGTGTTAATACATCTAAATGTCTATTAAGTATGACTATCTGTTACTGCCCTGCGGGGCTTATACAATATTGATAACCCACCATCATATCATTATGATACATAAATCAATTTCTTAACCTCCCTCCCCTAAAAAAATTGATTAAAAAATAAATACCTTAAAATAGTGATTTTATTAAGAAATATGGTACATTTTAATTTAAAATTTTTAATTTTTTGGTTAAAAAAATAAGTTTATGGCAAAATGCTGTTTCCTGTGACACCTGTGGTTTGG